CCAGTTCGAGCAACTTGGAAGACACTTTGGATGCTACGTTCCAACAGCCATTTGAATCAACTTCCAGGACACTCTCATGCTACGGTGTACCATTCCTACGTTGTAACATCCATCTCGAGCAACTTCGAAGACGCTTTGGATGTTACCTTCCAAGAGACATTTCAATCAACTTCTAGGACACTATGGATGCTACGTTGTACCATCCAGTTCGGGCAACTTGGAAGACGCCTCGGATGCTACGTTCCAACAGCCAGTTCAATCAACTTCCAGGACACTATCATGCTACGGTGTACCATTCCTACGTTGTAACATCCATCTCGAGCAACTTCGAAGACGCTTTGGATGTTACCTTCCAAGAGTCATTTCAATCAACTAGACACGCTATGGATGCTACGTTGTAAGATCCAGTTCGAGCAACTTGGAAGACGCCTCGGATGCTACGTTCCAACAGCCATTTGAATCAACTTCCAGGACACTCTGGATGCTACGGTGTACCATTGCTACGTTGTAACATCCATTTCGAGCAACTTCGAAGACGCTTTGGATGTTACCTTCCAAGAGCCATTCCAATCAACTTCTAGGACACTATGGATGCTACGTTGTAAGATCCAGTTCGAGCAACTTGGAAGACACTTTGGATGCTACGTTCCAACAGCCATTTGAATCAACTTCCAGGACACTCTCATGCTACGGTGTACCATTCCTACGTTGTAACATCCATCTCGAGCAACCTTTCGAAGACGGTTTGGATGCCCCTAAAGGTCCCCCAGTCCCCCTAAATGTCCCCTTGTCCCCAGGGTAAACCCTAAAGGGTTGAGTAACGTATTGAATAGAGAGGCAAGTTACCATATGCCCCCAAGTCCCCCCCTAAACCCCAGTCCCCCTAAATGCCCCCTTGTCCCCAGGTTAAACCCTAAAGGGTTGAGTAACATATGGAAAAGAGAGACAAGTCAACATATGCCCCCATGTCCCCCCCTAAACCCCAGTCCCCCTAAATGTCCCCTTGGTAAACCCTAAAGAGTTGAGTAACGTATTGAATAGAGAGGCAAGTTACCATATGCCCCCAAGTCCCCCCTAAAGGGCCCCATGTCCCCCCCTAAACCCCAGTCCCCCTAAATGCCCCCTTGTCCCCAGGTTAAACCCTAAAGGGTTGAGTAACATATGGAATAGAGAGACAAGTCAAGATATGCCCCCCTATGTCCCCCCCTAAACCCAGTCCCCCTAAATGTCCCCTTGTCCCCAGGTTAAACCCTAAAGGGTTGAGTAACATATGGAATAGAGAGACAAGTCAAGATATGCCCCCATGTCCCCCCCTAAACCCGAGTCCCCCTAAATGCCCCCTTGTCCCCAGGTTCAACCCTAAAGGGTTGAGTAACATATGGAATAGAGAGACAAGTCAACATATGCCCCCATGTCCCCCCCTAAACCCGAGTCCCCCTAAATGCCCCCTTGTCCCCAGGTTAAACCCTAAAGGGTTGAGTTACATATGGAATAGAGAGACAAGTCCCCCTAAATGTCCCCTTGTCCCCAGGTTAAACCCTAAAGGGTTGAGTAACATATGGAATAGAGAGACAAGTCAACATATGCCCCCATGTCCCCCCGTAAACCCCAGTCCCCCTAAATGTCCCCTTGTCTCCAGGTTAAACCCTAAAGGGTTGAGTAACATATGGAATAGAGAGACAAGTCAACATATGCCCCCATGTCCCCCCCTAAACCCGAGTCCCCCTAAATGTCCCCTTGTCCCCAGGTTCAACCCTAAAGGGTTGAGTAAAATATGGAATAGAGAGACAAGTCAACATATGCCCCCATGTCCCCCCCTAAACCCCAGTCCCCCTAAATGCCCCCTTGTCCCCAGGTTAAACCCTAAAGGGTTGAGTAACATATGGAATAGAGAGACAAGTCAACATATGCCCCCATGTCCCCCCTAAACCCCAGTCCCCCTAAATGTCCCCTTGTCCCCAGGTAAAACCCTAAAGGGTTGAGTAACATATTTAAATTATTGTTGTTTAGGGGCGAATGTGACCCCTTTTGGTTTAGGGGCGAATGTGACCCTCTTTTAGGGGCGAATGTGACCCCCGTCCCCAACCCAAGCCCCCTGTATACACTGCCACTGGCTTGCTCTTAGGTGCAGGCTTCTTCTTAGCCTTCTTCTGCACTGGCTTCTTTGACAGAATGCCCTCGGTCTTTTTGGAAGCAGGTTTTTTCATGAGACCACGACCTGCCTGCTTTTTTTCTCGAGCTTGGCAAAAGCATCTTCTTCCCAATCTTCCAAGCTTCTTTCATTGTTTTCCAGAGCAGCTTGCGGCTGTGTCTGCGGTAGAGTAGCAGGCAAATTGGTGGAAGGTGCAGCAGGCACAGTAGCAGCCTCACTTGCTTTCGTGCCAGGTGGCACAGCAGTGTGTGCTGTTGGGGTGGTCATAGTCAAGTGAGCTCCATTTTCCAAAGGCATCCTTTCACCACGCGGCTCGCCACTGCTGCAAGACAAATTGTCAAGACTTCTCTGCTTGGAATAGAGATGTGGCTCTGCGGATGCATTTTCAAGACTGTATCCAAAGTCCCAGCAAGTATCGAATTGCTTCTGTTCATGAAATTTTCCAGCAAAGCATTGAGGTTTCCAGTCGGCTGCTGCAGAACTCCTTCCTGGGGTCCCATACTTACAACATCTTCTTTGTGCCAGCAGAAGGGGTGCCTCTGAGAGACAAACCGGTGCTTCGCACATGATTGTCCTTCATGACAGTCGCCAAGCCCACAAATTGACACCCCACTGGCTTCTCTTCTGGATAAGCTGCTTGAAAATGTTTGGGACTCAGGCCTGCTGGATCCGCGGGGTACACCTTCAGAGGGAGACACTCAGGAGGATTGGGTGTCGCAGAGTTCGCAAACGTAGTTCGCACGTGTTGAGAGAGTCTGTAGAAGAAGTCTCCTTCGGGTCTTCTGCCTCCCCTCTGCATGTCAAAGCATATCAGCAAGGCGGTCATGACCTTCTTCGTGCTTTCTTTCAAGCTTTTGACCCCTACCAGCTTGCACCTCGAGGCGAGAACGCATGCTCCTTCAAAAGGATTGCAATTTTCCAGCTTGGTGATTTCTGATTGTGTCAAGTAGGCGGGGATGCTGTCAAACTGCTGAGCCGCGGCTCGTTTGCAGGCATTGTGGCAAGTCACATGCCTTGACAAGGTCATAGCAAGCAACCACATCAGCTGTAGACAAACTCATATGCTCCAGCTTGTGCTTGAGGCTCGCCCCCAAACCTTCCAGAAGCTGCGGTTCACCAGGTCTTGCCTTCAACAAAGTACTGGTGGCGTTGACTTCCAACTGGAAGTCACTCAAAGACCACATGCCGGCAAGGGTCGTGCTGTCGCTTCTGGGAGCTGAAAATTGGTGCCAAAATGGCTAATGCAAATGGCTAAGTAGAGGTGGCAACTCGTTGTGTGCAAAGAGCGGGCCAAGCAAGGAAACATACCATGAGCCTGCATAGGCCAGCATTTGCGCGTCAAACAGCAGCGTGCAAAAATTGAATGAGAACATGAGCCTTAAAAGGCTGACACGAGTCGTGCCAACGAACAGGCTGGAAAGGCTCAAATCAGCGGAACATGAGCCTGCAAAGGCCGACGCATGTCATGGCATGAATGAGCCTGCTAAGGCTTAAGTATGCCCAATAGATGATGAGCCTCTGAAGGCTGACTTTAGTGCATGCCAAACAGACGGCTGCAAAGCTGAATTATGGAGAGCAGAACATGAGCCTGCGAATGCTGACACATGTCATGCCAAACAGGAGTCTTGTAAGTCTGAAGTCTGCCATGCCAAAGATGAGCCTCCTAGTTGGCCGCCATGTTTGTTTTTGCGAACGGATGAAGGAAATCCACTCATGCCTTGTTGCGCAAATAGGAAAGCTTAATTTTCTTCCAAACCTGGCTCGCATTCCTTCCTCTTCCTTGAAGAAGAGCTGGCCACACCTCCCCCAGTTCTTCAAGAAGGCTTGTGTCTGACATGGAGGCATCCTGGACGGAAAGCATGCTGATGGAATGGGCATCCAACAATCCCCTGTACTTGAGGTATTTGATCCAACGTGGGCATTCCAAGGCATAACTCGTAGGCTGTCCATGGTCATAGACCACGACAATAGCATTTTGGTCTCCGTCCAAAATGAGGCCATCACTGAAACACAATGGATTCACCCCCATGGCGATGAAGACACAGATGCAGGGGATTTGCAGACAGCAGTGCTGATGCTGCTGTCAAAAGCTGGGCCAGCTGAACTGACAGCAGATGTAGCAAGTTTGGGTTTGTAAGGAAAGAATGTTTGGGAAAGAGGCCAATGAAAATTGGAAGCAGATGGCAAAATCATTATCGAAAGCGTTACGAATATGAACCATGGGCTTATAGAAAAATAAATACATTAATTGTTACAATAACGCATAATTAGTGAGTTAGAGATCTGGATTCAGATTTCTGAGTCAAAATTTTAAAATAAGCATTTGGATTCAGAAATCTGAATCGAAAATGTTAATCAAGCAATTTGGATTCAGATATCTGAATCGAAATTTTGAAATAAACATTTTGGATTCAGAAATCTGAACCGAAAATTTTAATCAAGCAATTTGGATTCAGATATCTGAATCGAACATGTTAAGTAAGCATTTTTGATTCAGACATTTGAATCGAAAAATCTTAATCAATACAAGTTATCGTTGCGCATTGCTTCAAGAAAAGCTGAAGAAAATGAGCCTACCAAGGCTAACAACATTAGACAGGAAAGGTCATGTGTGGAGGCTGGTCGAACATGCATGAGTTTGTAAAGGCTGACGTGCATGCCAAGGAAGTTCAACAGGCAAAGCAAAGTGTGAGCCTACCGAGGCTGGTCGAACATGCATAAGCCTGTAAAGGTTGATCTTGACAGCACAAACATGAGCCTTAACAGGCTAGTTTTGCTTGAAGGAAGCTTTTCATTTTTTCTGGGCCGCTGCTGGTCAATGCTTGTTACCGCCAGGGTAGATGGAAGCCTTGCCATCATACTTCTTGTCCTTGCCACGGTTCAGCAAGTTCTCCAGGTGCTTATCCACTTGCTCGGTCATTTCTTTAGAGTGCAAGTAGTAGTTCTGGCAAAGCTCCATGGCGTGCTTCATATTTCCATTCATCAAGGCTCCCAGCAAGGGAACCATCTTGTGGAACCAGCCAGACGGATTCATCTTTGGGGGCATGATCTTTTTGTTGCATTCAGACTGCACCACAGGAGGTGGAGGAGGGTTCACCTGCCAAGGGCAAGGAGCAGCCTGGAACCAGCCCGTCTCCCGTGACTCCTCTTCCTTGCACGAGGTCCACTGTTCAGAAGCACCATGTTGCCAGCTCTTATCCTGGGACTCCTCCGACCACGAGGTCCACTCTGCAGAAGCGACATCGGGCCAGTTCTTATCTGGCAATTCCTCTGACCTCTCTTCCTTGCAGATGTAGCCAGCTTCCATGGCTGCTTGGCAATCCTCTGCATTCTGATTCTCCCAGTATGCTTCCTCCTCAGCGGTGGCTCGGACAGGACCTGCTGCGGCTGGCTCTTCGTGGTAAGAGTCAGGCCACCAGTTATCGTAGCCACACCACTCTGGCTCTGCTCCTTCTGCACCTTCTGTGGCAGCTGCATTTTCAGGATTATAGGACAAACCTGAATCGACGGGGTCAGAGGAGAGCATCTGAGTGAAGGTACCATCGCCATCTGCACCATCTACATTGCAGCTTGGTGCCTGCAGGGATGATCTGATCAATAGTCAGTAGTGGGTGATGGGTCTTTGAACTTTGAACTGCCCTGCCTCGACAGAAGTGGTAGAGCCTCTTCCATCCCCAATCCTCCTAGGGTACTTAGCGGCTTTCCCCGTGGCGGCCCAGTCCAAAGCTCTTTTCATTGGGATGGCTTCACCTAGCTTGGGCCACACCCTGTGCAAAAAGTCGATGGGGCTTGGAAGCAAGATCATGACTCTGGGAAGGTACAGGCTTACAAAGCATGTCTTGCATGAGCCTGCAAAGGCTGAAACCAAAGGCCACTGAAAATGTGTCTGCAGCGTACGGGTTTGCACGAGCTTTGAAAACATGTCTTGCATGAGCCTGCCAAGGCTGAAAAACAAATGCCAAAGGAACTGTTTGTATGAGCTTGCACAGACTTAGACACCGTATCTTGCATGAGCCTGAAAAGGCTTAAAGAACATCCCATAGAGGAGCCTGCAAGGCTGATAAGATCATGCTAGACATGAGCCTTCATAGGCTTACGCGTAGCCCCTGGTACAGGAAAGCCTTTTGTCCATTCCCCCCAAGATCTCCGTCTTCGTGCTCCACATTGGCAGCTTCTGACTTTGGAATCTCCTTGAAAATTTTTCGTACAGTCAGGCTTCAAGAATAAAAACGCTGCAGATAGTTGGTTTGGATCCAACTCGATCTGCAAATCACTCAAAGTGGCCCTCTTAGCTGCAGCCAAGACATGCACCTCGGTGCCATGGACATCAATTGTGATGGCTGCAGCGTCCAGCCTCAATTTTTTCTTCGGCTGTTCCACTTCCTTCTCTTCGTCAAACATAGACTCTTGTGCTTCCAATTCATTTTGGCCATGAGCTTTCAAAGCCGCTTGTCTCTTGACTTCACTGCCAACAAAAGTAGGGTTCTTGCCAAGCTTGCACGTGGAACCACAAAGTAAATTGCATATTTCTCTCGAAGTGGGCCTCAGCCTCAACCACGTCTTGCCCAAGGACTCTTCCAGCAGACCTTTGGGGATTGCTTGCTTCTTGCCATTGTCAAACTGTATGGTCACCTGGCGGTCAATAATCACAGAGCCAGCCATGTCAAATTTAGGGGAACAGTAAAGTTTGAGCCTGCTTTCAGAAGGAAAGAAAAGATGGTCAGAGACATGAAGAAAACACGTTGTATGAGCCTGCGAAGGCTGAAAGCGAATGCCATTGAAAATGTATGTATGAGCCTGCGGAGGCTTAGCCAGTATATCTTGCATAAGCGTAGTCTGAGAAAAATGCAACGAAGGATACATGTATGAGCCTGCAGAGGCTTAGAAAGCATGCTTTGCATGAGCCTGCGGAGGTTGACAACAAATGAAGCAACACATATATGCATGAGCCTTCGCAGGCTGAGCAAAAATGTCCTGCATGAGCCTGCGAAGGCTGAAAAAAATGCAGCAAACAATGTATGTATGAGCCTGCAGAGGCTGAGCAAAAATCTCTTGCATGAGCCTGCAAAGGGTTAAAGCAGATGTGAGCCTGTGAGGCTGATAAGACATCATCTTGAGTGTGAAGAGGCTTAATGGCTTAAGTCTCTGCTTTTTTTGCCAGCCCATCGCCAAATCTCACTTTTTGACCTTAGACTTTTTGCGAGCTGCTGGCAAAGGCTCCAAGAGCAGCTCTGTTCCTTCGTCAATCTGCCGCTTGTTCTTGTACACAGGGATTGTCATCTTCTCATGTTTCACTTGGACCTTTTCCATGTTGCCAGCAGCCTCGTTGCCATCATCAGCATGTTTCAGAAGATGAAAAGGCACAAAGGACCCACTGCCTTTCTTGAAGTCAGCTTTTGGTGGCGCCACTGCAAACGTCTCCGTCCTTCCTTGCACTTGCAGCACACAAGCATTTTTGGCCATTTTGGACATGTCACAAATTTGCACTGAGCCAAATGGCGCCAACTTCAAGCTTCCTTTCTTCATGGTCTTCCTGGCATACAAACTGCCTGTTTTCGAGATGGTGACATCTGGTTCACCCTGCTTCTCGTAGAATTCATACACTCCCACCTGGCATTGAGCCTTCGCAAGCAAGACATCAAGCTGTTGGGATTTCAAAGGCAGCATGTTGTCCAGTTTTCCATCGTCTACAAGCTCAGGCTCTTTGAGGGTACACACCTTCCAATCCTTCAAATCTGATAGCTTCACAACTGCCTCTTCAAGAGATCCAAACAAAGGCTGGTGACTAAATTTTCCTGCCTGGGAATCAATGGCGACAAACTTCCAGATCTTGCGGTGGTCATCCTTGTGCACATAGAGCTTTCCAATTGCCAAGTGCTTGTGGCTTTCCAGCGCGATGTGAGATGCACTTGCTGCGTCCTGCTCCCAACAAGCTCACATCGAAAAAACTACATTCCCTGGCAAACATGAGCTTGCAAAGACTGAAGGCTGCCAGAAAAGCTTTCCAAACTTGGCAACATGTCATGCCAAACATGAGCCTGCAGAGGCTGAGAAGCTGTCAGTCCAAGATTGAGCCTGCAAAGGCGGGAACCTGCTATGCCCAGAATGAGCCTGCAAAGGCTGAAACATGCCATGCCCAAACAGAAGCCTGCACAGGCTAACAACCATGCCAAGCATGAGCCTGCAGAGGCTTAGAACTTGTACACTTCGCTTGTCTGGAACCTTCAAAGAGACAACAGCTTCAGCTTGGGTAGTGGCAGGTACAGCTTGAGCAGTTTGAGCTGGGTTCGGTGCTCTGCTCGGGTTCTGCAAAGACGACAATTCTTCAACGAAGGTGTCCTTGACTTCTTGCAGGTTATTGTAAACCTTCTGCTCGCGACCCTTTCCTGATTTGTTCGTCAGGACCAGAACTACTCTCACAGGCAGCCTGCCCATCAGAGTGATGCCTTTCTTGTCTGTTTGCAAATTCCCTTGGCACAAGGTCTCCCATGCCAAAGAAACAGGTCTTCACCCTTTTTCACATCTGCTCTGATTTTCGCATGCTTCAAATTGCCCAAGTCGCTCTTCACCAAGAACTTGGAGATCGAATCCACTGACCTGGGGCTGGTGCAGTTTGCTGCTAAACACCCGGCTCTCAGCCAAACCAACGTTGTGTCTGGATCTTTGAAATCCAGAAATGTCACATGGTCCATGAACTCCTCGCCAATGCAAGCATTGCTGCCATAGAGCTTCGACATGCCATCCAACACTTTCATGACACCTCCACCGTACAATCTCACATAGGACCCAATGGTTTCCATGTAGTGAGAGCAAGCAGGTTGAGATGCCACAGTCAATTTGACTGCTTCTGCCATGTCCTTGCATTGGTTGAACCAAAAAGCGACCTGCATGGCAGCCTCAATTTCGTTCATTTGGCTAGCCAAGGCATGCGAAGAATTTTGGGCTTGTTGTATCAATGCAGGAAGATCACTAAACTAAATTCTTGCTCCACCTCCTGCCTGATGATTTTCCAGGTCCACCCAATTTCCACCATCTGTGTGAATGGGTGCTCATCGAGTGGCACGCTGCTGCCACTCACCAGAGCTTCAAGCGAAAGCTGGCCATTTGGGCACATCTCCAGCAAACCAGGATCATCGGTCGCGCATCCCTGTGCCACACTCTTGACAAACGAGACAGCGTGGCTTCCAGACACGGACAAATATCTTTCAGTGAAGCGAACCTTGGCTAGCTTGCCACCGCTTTGCTCCTGCAAATCTTGGTTGGCTTGGAACTGCTGAGACCTGGTGGCTGCTGTTGCAGCGACTTCAAAGCAAATGCCATCTAATCTGCTGAGGTCTGCCCCTGTTTTCAGCAGCTTGCAACCTTTGGCGCACTTCGGCTGGCAAGCACATTTTTCCAGCCCGGTTCTGCGGGTGTATCAGAATATCATTGCAATTCAGTTGGGCTTCATAGAGCAAGCCATTTTCTTTCAGAATCGCCATGATTCTGTTTACTTTCACATTCAATTCCAACTGGTCATCTTTCTTGGCAGCGAGCACCAACTTCGCCACTTTAGGGTCCATGCTGCCGTGCTGGCTGGAGTAAGGAAAATTTCAAAGCTCAAAGAAGTGACTCTTTGCCTGCTCTTGTTGCATGCTACAGAAAGGGACATGTTTGTTCTGTGGTGATTTCTGGGCTGCAAATCCTTGAGAAAATAGTTCAGAACAGACCACTGAGATGGGAAAAAGAATAAACAAAAGACAGCCAGCTAACATGCATGAGCCTTCAAAGGCTGAAGTTCAGAATGAAGAGCAACACATGACCCTGCTTCAGGCTTACAAGCATGTCACTACGCAACAGATGAACATGAATCTGCAAAGGGTTAAACATGACCCTGCACAGGGTGATGGCCAACCATGGGCTTACAAGTTTTAGATTTGGAAACTTTTGACAGTACCTACCAACATGAGCTTGCCTAGGCTACCAAACAAAGCTTCCAAAGGCTTGTCAAAAAAAAGCAGGAAGGAATACCAAGACTATGCTGATACAATTTTTTCTAACAAGCGCATTTTTCTTCTTTAAAAAACAAACAGCTATGAATGTTAGCTTTATGCTGATCTGTGTTTGGGTCTCAACATCGTGTTTTTTCTTCTTCCAAAACCTTGCAGGTATGCATGTTAACATCCACAGCAACTTTTTTTGTTCTTTTAAAGCTCCTCTAATAGTTCATAATGTGAAAAACTAAAGGTCATAAAGTTTAGCTAATTGTGCTAAAATTGTTAATAAACATTAGCTAACAAGAATATCTTTTAAGCACTTTACAGCAATTAGGTAAAAATAACATAAGTGATGTAAGTACTTGAAAGTTTTACGCCAAATATAACTAGTTATAACCACTTATCAATGAGTTAGGAATTGTTTATTATTTAGATATGTAAAGGTGCTAACGCCTGCAACCCACTAGCACCCACACAGCTGATCTAAGTATTGTCTTTTGCAGCTGAAGATCGTAAATCGTATTGGAGTGGCTGCATCCAGGCTGCGATAGTGATTTGTCAGCAGATCCTCGCAATTTTGGCGCTAGCAATTTTCCTTTAAAAAGTCCTTTTGAAACGTGCTTCAAAATCGTCTTTTTTTCGCTTTGGTGTTGAGATCCGGTTTTGGAGCTGCAATTCCTGTTGTGATTATGTACAAGAAAGCTTCTCTGTGTAAAAACTTTTTTCTGTAAACGCTTGCTGCGTGTAAAAGATTTGTGTGTAAAAGCTTGCTGTGTGTAAAAGCGTCTCTGTGTAAAAGTTTCTGTGTGTGTAAACGCTTGCCATGTGTAAAAGCACTGTGTGTGAGTGTTCTGTGTGTAAACGCTTGCTGTGTGGTGTGGTGAAAGCTTGCTGTGTGTAAAAGCTTCTCTGTGTAAAAGCTTGTTGTGTGTAAAAGCTTCTCTGTGTGTAAAGGCTTCTCTGTTTAAAAAGCTTGCTGTTTGTGTAAACGCCTGCCATGTGTAAAAGCACTGTGTGTAAGTGTTCTGTGTGTAAACGCTTGCTGTGTGTGAAAAGCTTGCTGTGTGTAAAAGCTTCTCTGTGTAAAAGCTTGTTGTGTGTAAAGGCTTCTGTGTGTAAAAGCTTCTCTGTTTAAAAAGCTTGCTGTGTGTGTAAACGCCTGCCATGTGTAAAAGCACTGTGTGTAAGTGTTCTGTGTGTAAACGCTTGCTGTGTGTGAAAGCTTGCTGTGTGTAAAAGATTTTGTGTGTAAAAGCTTGCTGTGTGTAAAAGCTTGCTGTGTGTAAAAGCATCTCTGTGTGTAAAAGTGTCTCTGTGTAAAAGCTTGCTGTGTGTAAAAGCTTCTCTGTGTGTAAAAGCGTCTCTGTGTAAAAGTTTCTGTGTGTGTAAACGCTTGCCATGTGTAAAAGCACTGTGCGTAAGTGTTCTGTGTGTAAACGCTTGCTGTGTGTAAAAACTTGCTGTGTGTAAAAGCTTCTCTGTGTAAGAGCTTGTTGTGCGTAAAAACTTCTCTGTGTGTAAAAGCTTGTCTGTTTAAAAGTTTCTGTTTGTGTAAACGCCTGCCATGTGTAAAAGCACTGTGTGTAAGTGTTCTGTGTGTAAACGCTTGCTGTGTGTGAAAGCTTGCTGTGATTTGCTGTGTGTAAAAGATTTTGTGTGTAAAAGCTTGCTGTGTGTAAAAGATTTTGTGCGTAAAAGCCTCTCTCTGTAAAAGTTTCTGTGTGTGTAAACGCTTGACATGTGTAAAAGCACTGTGTGTGAGTGTTCTGTGTGTAAACGCTTGCTGTGTGGTGTGGTGAAAGCTTGCTGTGTGTAAAAGCTTCTCTGTGTAAAAGCTTGTTGTGTGTAAAGGCTTCTCTGTGTGTAAAGGCTTCTCTGTTTAAAAAGCTTGCTGTTTGTGTAAACGCCTGCCATGTGTAAAAGCACTGTGTGTAAGTGTTCTGTGTGTAAACGCTTGCTGTGTGTGAAAGCTTGCTGTGTGTAAAAGATTTTGTGTGTAAAAGCTTGCTGTGTGTAAAAGCGTCTCTGTGTAAAAGTTTCTGTGTGTGTAAACGCTTGCCATGTGTAAAAGCACTGTGTGTGAGTGTTCTGTGTGTAAACGCTTGCTGTGTGGTGAAAGCTTGCTGTGTGTAAAAGCTTCTCTGTGTAAAAGCTTGTTGTGTGTAAAAGCTTCTCTGTGTGTAAAGGCTTCTCTGTTTAAAAAGCTTGCTGTTTGTGTAAACGCCTGCCATGTGTAAAAGCACTGTGTGTAAGTGTTCTGTGTGTAAACGCTTGCTGTGTGTAAAAGCTTGCTGTGTGTAAAAGCATCTCTGTGTGTAAAAGTGTCTCTGTGTAAAGTTTCTGTGTGTGTAAACGCTTGCCATGTGTAAAGCACTGTGTGTAAAAGCTTCTTTGTGTAAAAGCTTGTTGTATGTAAAAGCTTCTCTGGTAAGTGTTCTGTGTGTAAACGCTTGCTGTGCGTGAAAGCTTGCTGTGTGTAAGTGTTCTGTGTGTAAACGCTTGCTGTGTGTGAAAGCTTCTGTGTGTAAAAGCTTCTCTGTTTAAAAAGCTTGCTGTGTGTAAAAGCTTCTCTGCAAAAGAACTTGCTGTGTGTAAAAGCTTTGTTTGTGCCAACTTTGTATCACAAAGTAGTACTGGGACGTACTTTGTGCAAGGTTTGTAGTACGAAGTAGTACTGGGAAGTGCTTTGTGCAAGCTTTGTAGTACAAAGTAGTACTGGGAAGTAGTTTGTGCAAGCTTTGTAGTACAAAGTAGTACTGGGAAGTGGTTTGTGCAAGCTTTGTAGTACAAAGTAGTGCTGGGAAGTAGTTTTTGCAAGCTTTGTAGTACAAAGTAGTACTGGGAAGTGCTTTGTTCAAGCTTTGTCGTACCAAGCATACTGTAAATCTTTGTCAGCGTTGAGTACAAAGTAAGTCACTGGGGAAGTGGCTTTGGTGCCAGCTTTTGTAGACAAAGTAGTACCCTAGGAAGTGCTTTTGTGCAAGCTTGGTAGTGCAAAGTAGTACTGAAGTGTTTTGTGCAAGCTTGTGTACCATAAAGTACTGGGAAGTAGTTTGGCAGCTTTGGTCGAAGTGAGTTTAGTGAATTCCAACTTCCGACAATATGGACAGATGGAAGCAAAGCAGAGATGGGAAGAGTCAGAGAGAAGAGAAGAAGTAGAAGAGAAGATCAGAGAATAGAAAGAGTCCAGAAGAAGAAGATGCGACGCGCGAAAAGGTAGGAAGGTCTTCTAAGCACTGACTGTTGTTTTCCAATGATTTTTGGCTCCGAGGGTCAGAACGTAGGCTCCTAAAAGGAGCGGTGGGTGCGGAGCCAGCTGGGCCAGATGGATAAGATGAAAAGTGTACGCCGTTGTGGCGCGAAGCACATTTCGAAGTCAACATGTACAAAACACCTGGGTCTCGGAGCATTTTTGGAAGTTGAGATGTCGAAAAAGTGCACGCCGTTGTGGCGCGAAGCACATTTCGAAGTCACTGTACAAAGACAACCTATGGTTCTCGGAGCAATTTTTTGGAAGTTTGAGATGTCGAAAAGTGCCCGCCGTTTGTGGCGCGAGCCACATTTTCGAATCCAAAATGGTAAAAGCACCACATGTTCGCGCCACTTTTGGACTTTGAAGCGTCGTTTCGCGTGGCCATGCGCAAGGGATTGTGCAACCTTCTCAAAAGTGAAGCAAAAAGTGAGGATTTTGTCGCATTTCCAAAAACTATGGCAGGGTTGTAAATCATTTGCAGAGGAGTCTTCACAAGATGCCTTTATCCGTGGCAGGGTCAGTACAGATACTGTTCATCCGAGATGCCTAGGAGGTCCGGGCGCTGATTTCCTGAGGAGGTTTTGCATTTTGGAGCCTCAGATCTGCAGTTTGCTAAGATGTTTGGCGTGAAAAGTGCAGCAATTTCGATGACTCTGGCATCACTTTTTCGTTGCAAATGAGGCGCCAGTACTTTCAGACAAGGTGAACGTGGAAAATCGCTAAAACGCATTGGCACGGGCCGTCATCTCTGCGATTCTGCCAGCCCCGCAAAACTTTCCATTTTTTTGAAGGACGTCTCGCAGAATGGCTGCGTTTTCAAGCTTGCAGATAGACAGGTAGATAGATAGATAGATCGATAGATAGATAGACAGATTAGACAGATAGATAGATAGATAGAAAGATCGATAGATAGATAGATAGACAGACAGACAGATAGATAGATAGATAGATAGATATATAGATGATGACAAGACGACCGATAGATAGATAGATAGATAGATAAACAGCTAGATAGATAGATAGATAGATAGATAGGTAGATAGATAGATAGATAGACAGATAGACAGCTAGATAGATAGGTAGATAGATAGATAGGTAGATAGATAGACAGCTAGATAGATAGGTAGATAGATAGATAGACAGATAGACAGCTAGATAGATAGATAGATAGATAGATAGATAGACGGCTAGATAGATAGATAGATAGATAGACAGCTAGATCGATAGTTAGGTAGACAGATAGATAGACAGATAGACAGCTAGATAGATAGATAGATAGATAGACAGATAGACAGACAGATAGATAGATAGATAGATATACAGTAGATCGATT